TCTTGATATCAATATGAGAAGAGATTAAGTAAAGGGAAATATCTGAGGTCAACAAGTATTCTCATTGAAGGGCATGAGAAAGAATCAACAGGGTAGAGAAGGAGAAATGGGATAACTTGAGGTCATTTATTGAGGAAGAGCATGAGGATGGACATGAGTAAGTATCAATGGGTAGCCAATATACAGCATGTAGGCACTGGGCTCTGCAGAAGAGCAGGTTGTGTAGGATAGGATATCAAATGGTGGATGAAGGGTACGTAAAGAATCTGTGAGGGAACACAAAAGAATATTCATTGACTTTATAATTTTGCTTATACATCTTAGTTTAGGTTCCCCAAGACAGAAAACCCTAGGACAAGTTTTCCTAATTGGATGTATATCATTAACCCTAGTCATAGGAGCACCAAGAGATGCTCCAGTGAATCCATGAAATTTCATACATATTATCCCCACCTCCATTATGTAGCAGCAATCCTATCTCCTCATAATAACCAAATTCTATTATCTCTGATTGAATGAGAACTTTTTTCTATGCCTGCTTGTCAATTGTTTGAGAACCTTAAAAGGACAAAGCAACAATCACAATTTGAACTTCAGTAAAACGTTACTGGGTCCTTTGGAGAAAGCATTGCCTCCCCTTGGAGCCAAGACCTTCAAATTAGTAGAGCCCTGGAAGTGCAAGAACTGAACACATTCTGAAAGTGAGTAAGCGGGTGTAATGGCAAGAAGGGACAATCTTTCATCTCCCTTTTGATTCCCAAACCAAGTTTTTTTGCACTTGGCCACAGAATCATATGTTAGTCATTGGTTCAACAGACACACTGCATTCTGTAAGACGTCACCTCAACTCTACCAGGATGTCATCCACAAGCTGTTGCTTTAGCTGAGCCTTTAATAAATCAAATCATTCCAAAGGTCTATCAGGCCAACTGATTTCAGGTAATACAGAAAATGGTAGGAATGGTAAATTGTCATTCAAAATGAAATGGATCGCTTGATCTGAGTACTTATGCAGGATCCCATGTAGATATATCAGACAGCTGTATGAGATTGGAAGGTAGAACTCCAAAGGCACTGTACACAAGGAAGGCAAACTCAATTCAGAATAGGTGTCAATTTTTGCAAGAATGAATTACTGTCCCCTTCAGTGTGGAAGGAGTCTGATATAATCACCTTAAAACCAAGTGGCTGGCTTGTCTCTTTGATGAATGGTATCATATCAAGTGTTTAGCACTGGTTTCTACTATTGAAAGGCCAGGCGTTCATCAGTAAAAGTAGTTACATGAGCCTTGCTGAGAGGGATCTCAGGATATTGCGACTATCCATAGTCTCTATTCCAGCCACCATGCTTACTCCTTTACAGGCCCATTGTGCAAGAACATGGGTAGCTGAGGGCACAGGCTTGTTGACATCCACTGGAAGCATCTATCTGGATGTTGAGTATCTCTTCTTGGTGGATACTTTCTGCTGGGTATTGTAACACACAAAAGTATGCTAACTCTCTATCCAATCCCCTAGGTTCATCCACATGCCTATTTTAGTCTTCATTGCCTCCAAAATAGTCCAGTATCATTCCCTCGAGCCCTCATCAATGTGACAAGCTATTTTCCATGTATACTCTTACTTCAGACCACTTCCCCTTCATACAAGTATAAGGACCAGGTGTATTGCATACAATACAGCATATCAGGAGGATGTCCGATCCCCAGGTACATACCTTTTAAAAAAAAGGTTTGCTGCTGGACCCTAGTCAAAACTGGATGTCTAACCCACAGAGACTTTGTGATTCTCTAGCCTGACACTCCCTTTTTTGTGGTGAGTCAGCTCAGATTCATTGACTATCAACATGAGAAAGACTCAACAAGTCTCACTTTTCAATTTAAATAGTTTCTTAAAGAATCCAGTCAGCCTGGGCACAGTGGCACTTCAGCTTTTACATGAAAAATGGCAGCTATCCTTTTGTAGGAGACTTTGTCCACCACTCTACTGCCCGAATGAAAGCCACTGGCTGAATAGGGCTCTTGATTCAAAGGTTTCCTAAATGCCTAGGCCTGGTTAACCGATGTTAAGGCTAAGCCAAAACCCAATTATATCCAATAAGCTACCACATCACTTCAGCCTCACCACCAGCTATGAAGAACTAAAAGCATGTATGAATCTCTTAGCTCAGTGGCCAGACTCTAGGACGTTACCTTAGTTTTAGCTAATATTCCCCTTGAAAAACCTTATAACATTTCACACCTCCCACTTATTAGGTTGTTGCCAATTGCCTAGTTGTTTAGTGTCACTTGGAAAACTACAAATTGGCAGATTAACACCCTTACCCCCTTTGGATGCATGAACTGTGGACAAATCACAGCTGCTAATAAAATCGTATGGGTCTCTCTTGTAGAAGCCAACTGAAAAACCCAGTTCTCTAACGAGACTGAAAAGAATCAAGATGCTGATTGAACCTGCACTAATTATATTGTCACCATTGCTGCCTGGATCCGTCATCATATTGTGCCTTGCAACACATCCACCATCATAAAACAATCACAATGTAAGGCATGCTATGTTTCTGATGTAGAGGCTACCATTTAATGTCAGGCTTATGACTCCTGCCAAAAGAAGGCGTGATTGCCTTGTGGTGGGGGAGGCCATAATGCATGGGGCATTGACTCTGCCCACTCTGGCATATTGATTACATCAGACATTAGACTCTCTTGAGGTTATTGTGGGGAGGACCTCACAACTTTGTGCACTTTTTAAAGATTATGACATTACTATTTCAGTTTTAGCAGCCAAATCAAGCCACATCATTGTGCCTCTTATACTTATCTGTATAAGTTGTTTCACTTTTCACAACATTTTCAGTCTGACAGTGATGCACCTTTTATCACAAAAGCCAGTCAATAATGGGCTGATTGTCAAGATATTCAATGAAACTTGCACTTCCCCTAGGCATATGGGATATGCTTAGGCGTATGGGATTGATGAACAACCTCCTCAAAAATCAACTCAAAAAGATTTCTGACTTTACATATCTTCCCTCCTCCTACTCTACGTGCCTTAGTAAGGCAATTTGTTCATTGAATGTTTTGTCTTAAGAAAGCAGTCATCCCCCAAGTGATTTCTGGGTAATGATCCACTCAAAAAGAGTGGCATGTGTGCATATAAACCTATTTTTAATCATTCTTTGGCACAGTATTTCATTCTTCCACATACCAACAACCCCATGCTGGCTCGGTTGGTGCACCCTCCAGGTGTCAGCATGGCCAAAAGGGGACCCAACTAATACAAACTTAATTCTTGCTCAACCACTTAGATTTTCTTGCTGGATTGACATGGTCCTAAAGCATAATGATAAAGACTACTTGTTGAGTGCACAGCTGAGTCCTCTACAGTGGTCTATGTGAGCCAAATGAGGGGATGAAGGTGTCTCTGTAATTTTTGTAAAACTTCTCTTGTCTCTATTGTACCCGGCACTTTCAGTTGAAAGGTCTAGGTTTGAACAGGAGATGATTGGAAAACCAGTGTAGTTACAGCTACTAGCATATAGCACAACAATTTCGTGTTGGTGGAAAGAGAGCAATGACCCCCACCCCAGGAAAAGGAACCATTTACACCCCTGGAGTGACAGAAGAGTGAGGGATATTAATGATCTTTATCTTTCAGAATTGCCATGGGATAAAGAAAATTCTCCTGGTGTGGCCCTTCCAAATTGTTAAAAGCACCATATATTTGAATGTTGTGAATCCTAGCCTCAAGTTGGGACAACATTTCCCTTAATCTTACCATGAAATATATTGGAAACAGCAGAGGATGGCTCCCACTTCTGCATTTCCCAAGCAAAACATCTTTCAACACCTCCAAATGTATTTCCTACAATTATTTCCTTAGCTGTCACTCACTTATTGCATGGGAAAGGTGAATGCCACCTAACTGGCGGCATGAACAAACAAGACAAGTTGAACTGATTGTGCAGTCAGTTTTTACTGAAAACAAGGACTAGAATCAATTATTTGAGCTAACTGGGAACCCCAAGACCGACCACTGGCTAGGAGTCCACACTAGAGAGATTGTTAACCTGGGCCCTAGACTGACATAGCTTCTATTTGGGGCCTCAACAGTTGTAAGCAACACTTTCTCTACAGGGTACCCTGTGCATCCCTGTAACTCTACTTCTTTTGTGGAAACCAAGTATTAACTTGCCTCTGTTTTGACAACACAGTTATTTGCTCCTTAGAGGTGGTCATAAGAAACCTTCATATATTTAATGACACACCACCAGTAAATCTTATAAGCCTTATATGACGGTAGAGTTCTTCCAAAATAAGTATAACCTTAGTTAGACAGGGGAGCTTCCCAGCGAGCTAACAGACTCATTAATTATGTGTACCCTGAAGGCAATTATTCCTACAATGAAAGTCATCCAATTATAAAAATTGGTACATAATTTATACTCGACTTTAGCTGAAGTGGTTAATAACACCATCTCAGCTCTAGAAAGCATTCAGGTCAGCCTCAACTTACTGGCCAGAGTGGTTATGGATTAGAGAATTGCCATAGACTTCATACTTGCAGACCAACGTGGCATCTGTGTAATTTCTAATGCAGCCTGCAATCCCTGGATTAATTCCTCTAATCAAGTGATAAGGCCAATAAGAGAACTTAAGGAGAAAGCCACCTCACATTCTAAGCTAGATCCTCCTGGAATAACATTTGTTCAGCTGACTGAGTCCAGGATGTTGGCAGGCATGTTTGAAGTCAGTATTACAGTTTGACTCCATTCTGCTGCTTAGAGTCCTGTAGATATTTGCCTTAATTAAATATTATATGAGGCAAATTGATTGGATATGATCCCAGTCTCTGTTAGATATATTTTTCTTGTGGCTAATATAACAGCATACACATGGGAAAATCCTTCAGAAGCCAAGGTACTCTACGAATGACTTACGAATATTCTTGGGAGATAATTCTCCATGGGTCTCTCATGTTTCTTCATATCTTGCAAGCAGAAGAATTGACTAGCTTTATTCCAGACTCTCTTTTCAAAGATGTTTGCATAGTGAAAAGCCTTGGAAAATAGTGATAGTGTCTCCATATAGAACAAAAGGCACATTTTTTTCCATAAGCATAATTAAAATGTCTCTCCCCAGGGAAAAGATAAGGCAGGCTTACTGGCAGTTATAAAGGTTTGGGTTCCCTATGCTTGAGGTATCATTCTAGTCACTGAACCCACTGCATGTGCAGGCATCACCTGGCCCTCTTCTCAGTGCCCTGCGGGAATTGGGGTTCAGGAAACTGGCACAATTGCTAATATTCTGACTACTGCTATTACTGTGAACAGTAAACTATCCTTTGTCTCTGATTTAAGAGTGTCATGTCTTCTGCCAGCATCAATGAAACTGTGGCAACTTGTCATCTTACAAACAGGGTAAAATCTCAGATTCTTCACAATTTTTAGTACTACAACACTCACACCTTCAGAAATTCCTTTTGGAAGTAAGAAATTTATATGAAGAAAATTAAATTACATTTTGAATAGCAATTATACCAGTGAGAAAAAAAGTCCATCAATTGGCTTTGTACAAATGCAGAACCTTGTTAAATCAAGGATCCAGGAAAGTCAAGCTGAAATATCCACTCTGTTAAGATCATTCCAAATTTTGCTTGCTTTTCACTATCTTTTTTGACCTTTACTGTTGAGTCGCCTTGGAAGAGTAAAGAAACCTACAGTAACAACCAAACATCTAAGCAATTTTGTCAGAGAGTAAGATATTCATGGAGATGCATCAACAAAGAAAAATGGAAAGATAAAATTTTTAATCAACAAAGTAGTGAAGAGTGATGATTTTCATCACTCATTGATATAACATTTCTCACTAAACTCAGAAAATATAGTATCAATTTCCTAATTTTCATTTTGAAATATTTTTGAGCACATTTCACTTTATTATTTTTTGGAAGAATGGCTTTTATTATTTTTTATTGAGGTAATATTGGTTTAGAACATTATATAAATTTCAGTTATACATCATTATATTTCAGTTTTTATATAGACTACATCATGTTCACCACCCAAATACAAATTACCACCCATCACCATACACATGTGCCCTTTTCCTCACTTTTAATTAGGGAAGAAGGATCTTGCTTAATTTTTTCTTATTTACAAAGACATTTCACTAATGAATAAATACATTTATACTATATGGGAGTAAATGCCCTAATGAACCAAAAAAATCATTTTTATTCTCCTAGTTTAGTTTAGGTAAACAAAAAGTAAAACTCAATGATTCAGTGTACTATTTTTTTTTTTTTTTTGGTGAGGAAGATTAGCCCTAAGCTAACATCTGTTGCCAATCCTCCTCTTTCTGCTGAGGAAGGTTGGCCCTGGGCTCACATCCATGCTCGTCTTCCTCTACTTTACATGTGGGACACCTACCACAGCATGGCTTGACAAGCAGTGCATAGGTCCGCACCTGGGATCAGAACCCACAAATCCTGGGCCGCTGAAGCAGAGCTCGCAAACATAACCACCACACCACTGGGCCGGCCCCCATTGTATTATTTTTTTAAATGTATGAATGTAATGACCTATATTACAAAACAGATATCTATTTCAATTTTCTCTATACTTATAAGTATACTCAACATAAAATGCCAGTTTTAATCAGAAATAAGAGCTAAATTATTTTTTTATGTAAAAGATGGTTTATCTATGTTTTTAATGATGTAGCCCTTTTCTTATTCTCCAGGCATATTAAATACTTCAGAATATTTCTTTATCTGAAGCCAGGTCTCATTCACTTTTAGTATAGGGACATATCTTGTTTGGATAGCCATATATCCAGTACTTTTACAACAAGCAGCAATTGCATTGTGTGGCATTGGATCAGTCAAATTCTTGACCAAAAAACAGATGCGTTTCAAAATCAGTGTAATTTTTGACAGAAAAGAGATGGTACACTAAATCAGTGTAATTAAAGAGAGTTTAGTAAAGAGACCATTTACAAATGTGTGAAAACTATACTGTATGGTAAAGCTCACTGAAGCTAACAACAGCAAGGAACCATTACCACTCCTAGACATGAAGGATTAAAGATAGGAAGCAGCTACCAGGACTTGGTGAGAACTCAAGCTCAGGTTGTAGGAAGGGGCCTTCCAAGAAGAGCTATAAACTTTTATGGTGATACAGAGCTCCTGCCAATCTATAGTCTGATAGGGAAGGATCCAAAGCAATTGTTACCCTGACATTGTCCTCTACTCATTTTTTGAGCAGCTGACAGTATCTCCTATTGGCCATGCCCAACCTGAAGCCAGAGGACAAAGGAGCCTGGCTGATCTATTTCACAAAGCACAACTTCCTGGAGCACAGAACAGGAAAAGTAGAATTAAGATTGGATCTGGAGAAGCAGAGAATTTCCAGCACAAATATAAATGGAGGGGAAAAACTCGGTATAATAGTCTTATTTAAAACTAAAGACTTCAGGAATGCAATAATCTCACAAAGAAAAACTAGAAAAAGAGAAATATTCTGTCTGAAGGCATCGGAAAGTTGCTAAAGCAACAAGAATAGGGTAGGATAATCCTCTAAAGCAGGAGCTGACAAGCTTTTCTTTAATGGACCAGATGTAAATATTGTAGGCTTGCAGGCTATACAGTCTCTGTTGCAACTACTCATCTATAACACTGTAGCAAAAGCGTCGTAGACAACACCTAAGCCAATGAACTTGGCTGTATTTCAATAAAACTATTTACAAAAACAGGCAGCAGCCCCATAGCCCCTAGATTTGAATCTCGAGAGGCACTTAAGGTCAACACAGAGTTCAGGCAGAGAGAGAGGCAGGACCTGGGGCACATGCCTCTATTAGAGTCAGTGGGTGGAGTGCTTTATTAGGATCAGTGGGTTCCCAGGCTAGGGCTGGATTGGTCAATTCAAACTAAAAGAGCAAGGTTTTGGTAAACCCCAAGGGGGTCTTATTTAAAGGATGCATAAGAAATACAGATACTGGGCGGCAGGGGAAACTGTTGATCACAAGGACTATTGGAGAAGTTATAACAGGAACTGACATTTGCTTGCAACTCTATGGGTTGCTATCTAGGGCATGCACTTGCATGAGGAGACGAGGGTCAATTTAAGGTCACTGTAGGCTACTAGGCCAAACAAAATGGATACCAGGCAGCAATACCATGGAGTAGTTCAGCTAAACTCTCAACAGTGTAGCTATACTATCTCGGAAAAATACATTTTAAGACAAGAGTGCTCAATCCTTTAGGAAGATACTAAACCTGTGTGCATGCAATAACATAACTTCAAAATATATAAAGCAAATAATTGGCAGAAATAAAAATATAAACGGACAAATACACAATGTAAGTGGGAGACATTAATAGTCCTCTTTAATAGCTGATAGTACACAGAGACAAAAATGGTAAGAATGTAAAAACTCTTAAAGACATAATGTTAAAACCTCAAAAAATTGACATATGTAAGACACTGCATTCAATAATGAAAGGATACACACTCTTTTCAAGCACACACAGAACAGTTTCCAAAATTAAACATAGGCTTTGTTATAAAGCATACTTCAAAAATTTAAGACTTAAAATCATTCAAAGTAAACTTTGCTCACAGTGGCAATAAACTAGAAATCATTACAAAAAGATAAATAGAAAATCTTCAAGCACTTGAAAATTAAGTAATAGATGTATAAATATGCCAAGGAACAAATTACAATGGAAATAACAAAAATTTCAAATGAAGCCTACTGAAGATATGACATTTCAAAGAGCTAAAGCAATGTTTAGAAAAAATGTTTAGTCTTAAATGCAGATGTCAGAATATTAGAATGCCTGAAAATCCTTTGTATAAACTTCCACCTAAAAAAGCTGAAAAATAACAGAAAATGGATCCTATGGAAAGTAGAAGGAAATAATAAAAATAAGAACAGATATCAATGAAAGGATGTCAAATATCCAAAATTTATTTTATCAAATATTAATAAAACTAATAAACTCTTAGCAAACTGACCTAGGAGAAAAAAGAGACAACAAAAGTTATCTGTATCAGGAATTAATGAAAAATATTGCACTAGCAATGATCCTACAGATATTGAAGACATACTAAAGTTGATATTATGAATACAATAGGAAAATAAATTTGAAAAAACAGATTCCTTGAAAAAATGCATCTTTCAAAATTGAACAAAAGAAAAATAGAAAATATGATTAACTCCATATCTATTAAAAAATAAAATATATTATTAAAAACCTTGTCTAAGCAAAGAAATAAGCAAATCAATCAAAGACTCCAGGCATAGATGGCTTTGCCATTATCTTCTTCCAAACATTTAAGAAAAAAAACATAGAGTAAAAATAACAAAACATTAACAATCATAAAAAAAAAATGTATGAAAAGGACAACAAATCACAAAAAAGTGGAATTTGTCTCGGAATACAAGGATTTCTTAATATCTAAATATCATTTCACATAATACACTTTATTAACAGGAAATAAAGGATAAAACCATATAATCAATTCAACAGATGCAGAAAATAAAACTGCAAGTATTTCACAGGTTGGAAATTTGAAAGAACTGACGATTTCACAGGGAACTCATAAGAAAGACTTTAGTAGAGGCAAAGGAGACAACATAGAGGAGATGGAAAGCACAAGCAAGCAGCAGGGGCCCAAGAGACTTCCAGTAGCAGCTCATCATGGTCCTTTTTAAGCCACACAGGATGTTTCATCTCCAGATTATAAACCACCAAGACATGTTCGAGGAATCATTATTGCAGGAGAGCTCAGGCAAATGTTTTGAACAGCTTCTTTTATATGCTACTTGTCATGGAGCTAAGTCAGGGCATTTAACTGGTTAAACCAGGTTTAAAACACTAATCTATGCTTTCTTAAACAATATAAACAAGCTGTTCCTGGTTGTTACTGGGGAAGTTTTGAACTTTAAATAGCACATTGCAAATTAATAGCTAGCCCATATGGAACCTAATTGGCCAAGAGCCAAT